GAAACCTTTATTCCCTATGGTGCAAGAAATGTTGGTTATTACGACATATACAAGAATCATAACCATTTAAAACTTGTTACATCTGTCTCCAAGTTATTAAACAGCTAACCTTTTGAGAAACTAATTCATTAATCAGCAAATATTGTCTTTGGTAGTGTAGCGGTTACGAGTTGGGCTGCTAACCTCAAGGTCAGCAGTTGGAAACCATCTTTCCTCAGGTGAAAGATGAGGCTTTCTGCTCCCATACAGATTTACAGCCTCGGAAGCTCTATGCAGAGTCACTATGAGTCATAACTGACTCTATGACATGTAATCACCACATGTTTAAAAGGTAATGTTATAACAATAAAAGGACAAGCAAAAATGTAAGTCAGGTTCTTAGACTTGAGAAGGTCATATTCTAAGTAGCAAAGAAAAAATTCAAGGCAGTGTGGTAAGTGCCATAATAAAGGTATGAAACAGCATTAGAGGAAAATAGATCAGAGTGATTACTCTGGGTCAGAAAATCATGGTTTTTGGAAAGCTTCTAGGAAAAGTAGCATAGAGACAGGAAACTCACAAAATTTCACAAGACAATTAACTAGAGGTCATCATAACAAATAGAAGAGAGAGATTACACAATATCTAGATTGCAAGAAAAACTGGAAAATGATGCATTTCAAAATGAGAAATAGTAATAGTAAAATCATCAGAACATTGTTCTTGATGTTAAGTGCCATCGGCTTGGTTCTGACTCATAGCGACCCTATAAAGGATTTCTGAGGAATGGCTGGTGAGTTTGAACTGCCAACTTTGTGGTTCAAACCAACCTGGAGGTGAAACACTTATACTATGGTGCCACACCAGGACTTCAAAATATTAATTTAAGAAAATTGTAAGTTGTCAAAAATAAACTGGAATATATAAAAACTGATACTCACCTGGGGACTCAAGGAACACCACGATCAATTGGCATAATATAGTCCATAAAGACAATGTTCTACATCCTACTAGGATAAACAGCAACGGGGTCTTAAAAACTCATGAGCAGCATTCTAAGGTGAACCTACTGGTCTCTCCATGTGTGGAAGAAAGAAGAGTGATGAGAATTGAAGATGCTTGGAATCAACTAGTCCAATGGACCAAATGGAGCTGGTGACCATCAGTCACTGTGACTGTGAAACTAGAAAAACTAGATGATGTCTGCCTACCATTAACAACTACTCTGAAAGAGATCACATTAGAAAGTTCCAGGTTGAGTGGGAGAAAACATGGAATAAAACTCAAATTTTTAAAAAAAATCAGGTTTATTGGTCAGAAAGAGACTGGAGGAACCCAAAAGTATGGTCCTCAACCATCCCTCAGATCTGGAAAGGTACTCATTCTCATGGCTCAATTTCTGCCAAGCAGTAAATAGGCATAGATGGGAGAAACCAACCCTAGTTAGGTATGGTCACCACAGAAAAGTCAATCATTCAAAATCAAAAGGAAAACACTAACCTAAGGACAAAGTTGAGAAGAGATGGGAAGGTGGGAGGAATGGAAATAAGACCCACAGTGAGGAAGTGGGTTAACTGTTGTTGCATGGAGGGGATTGCAATCATTGAGATGAAACAAAATATATCTTTTGTTGAATATAAAAGGATGATCTTTTCCATAAAAATGCACTCAATTCACAATAAAAAGGTTTTAAAAAATCAAAACCCTAGGCATTAGTAAGCTGAAATGGACAAGTATAGGCCATTTTGAACTGGACAACTGAACTCCTGGCGTGGCATGATAAGATCAACACTAGACTTTAAACCATGCGGTAGGCAGTTCAAACCCACCAGCTGCTCCTCGGAAACCCTATGAATGGTCACCAAGTGGTCACTGAGTGGGAACCAATTTGACAGCACTTAACAATAACAACAAAGACCTTGGGAAAATTGATGCATTTGAGTTGT